CGCCTTCAGCTAGGTGAGTCCACTAAAACATATGGTCAGCATTCAATGTCGGAAACTTAGTGCTATTTATTTTGGGGATTTATTTACCGCTACAACTTAATGAAATGTCCTCACAGAAACTAAAAGGGATTTATGTAAGCGTTGATATTAACAAACTAATATAATTTAAGGCCATGGATTATTCGTTGCTACGAAAGTAGGTTTCTATTACATCAAGGGATTGCCATATTACCAAATGCACTAAGTACGATTACTTATCCCAAGAAACAAGTGACGAACTTGAGAATACACCAGATTGTATATCGCGCGCTATTTAAAAAGGACAGTAGTATTTGTTGATCGTTTATTACGTATCAAGACTACTGTTTTCACTTTAATTGAATTTATTTCAGCTAAAGTATTAGACTAGAGTATCGTTTTTACTGTTCTCGGAATTAGTTTTGTCGTTGGTACTCTTGAGTACCTCTTTTTCAACTGTATCTGTTAGTACTTTTGGTCCTGGCAATCTACAGCTCTTCACTCTTTTGGTCATTGATTACTTTTTGTTTCTGAGTATCATCGCATCTTGAAAAAGAACCCCTCCTAAATGATCGGACAGTGTAAAAAAAAGCAGTTGTCAACGTCCGGGTTGTCGTAATCCGGTTGAAAGCGGCATGCAGTGCGACGAATGCAAACAGCTTGTTAACCGAGGCCATCTCACTGGTTGATGCTGCAAAGAAGTGTTTTAGCAAGCATAGTCGGAACGCGTCAAACAACACTCGATCTGTCGACACGCAAACCAACGTGAAGGAAACTAAGGTTCGTTCGATGGTAGATGACTCATGCCCTTCAAAGAAGGAAAAGCAGTCTCCAAAGGGGCCTGCCTTAAACAAAAGCATGAGAAAAGTAGGGTCTTCTGTTCCCCGTCTCCCAGATGGGATCCAACAGGAAACACCTAGAAGCCACAATCACAAGGCTCGATCGGTTTCAAGCGGTAAACACAACCCGATCTCTCAGGTCGTCGTCAACCCCCCAAAATCCAACACTAGGTTTGACGCAACTGTTATTGTTTCTACCAGCACCGTTGACGACTGGGTACACGTTGTAAGAAAGAAAAGTAGGGATATAAAAGGGAACCCTGCCCCCGTAAAAGTAGTTGAAAAATCGAAAGCTGATCATAGCGACAGATCAGCTATTTTTCATAGAATCAAGGAGAGCGAGAGCTCTAAACCTAAAGCTCCTTTTGAGCATGACATTGTACTGATTAGGCAGCTGCTTAATCAACTCATGCCTCAAAATACGACCGGGGTCACCTTGCTAAAAGTGTACAGACTAGGGAGTCTAGCGGACTCGAAACCAAAACATTCCAGATTGCTTAAAGTAGTATTCAGCTCTTCGAACGAACGTGACCTAGTTTTACAGAATGGACACAAATTAAAGGGTTCAAGAGTTTTTATCCGAAAGGACCTACCGTTTGCAGACCGTGTTAAAAGACGGGAAGCCGAAAAAAACTACAACTTAGGTTAGACGCTGGCGAAAAGGATCTGAAAATTGTAAATTTTCGGGTTGTAAGACCGACAGAGAATGATGCTGAAGCCACTCTGGGTGAAGCACGAAGGCACTTAGACAGACTTCGGATCTGTTACACCAATGCACGAAGCTTACTTAATAAGCGATCGGAACTAGGTGTACAGATTGACTCTACAAAGCTAGACAATCGCAGTAACAGAAACCTGGCTGACACAGGCTATAGATAGTATGTAACTTGATTTCTAGGGTTTTACGTTAGTAAGGGCCGACAGAATACAAAAGCGTAAAGGAGGGGGAGTAGCTCTATTCATTAGGAATGCTATCCCATTTGTCATTATCGACACTGTATCCCATGAGAGTGGGACGTGTGAATTAGTTAGTTACCGCTTGAAATGCAAGGGTCAAGAGCTGCTGATTGGTTTGATCTATCGCTGTTCAAGCTGTGACGTAAATGAAGTCCTGCTAAGCAGTCTCAATACTTGGTCACGAAGTGGTCGATGTCTAATCCTAGGAGACTTTAATACACCTATGGTAAACTGAGAAAATCTGCGAACTAAATCGTCGGAGAATTCTTTCGATCAGGAACTAGTTGATAGGGTTATCACATGTGCTCTAGTGCAACATGTGAAAGAAGCGACAAGGTACGACCCGGAAGCTGAATCATCCTTACTAGGTCTTATACTGACTTACTATGAGGATGATGTTGCGGACCTCTATTATATGCCACCCCTAGGTAAAAGTGATCACGCAGTTTTAACTTTCGACTTTCATATAACTGCCAGTCACGAGCATGCGTCAGTCCAGTTCAGACCCAACTTCTGGAAAGCAAACATACCAGACATCATGCACTCAGCATCGTTAGTAGATTGGACAATAGACCCAGAGTCCTCCATTGAAACGGCCTGGGACGCATTTCGAAATTCATACATAAAAATTACCACACTTCACATCCCTTGGGCTATACCAAAGGGGCCGAAAAACTCACCACCATTGTTCAGTAGGGAGGTCCATATCCTTCTCCGTAAGAAAAGGAAAATGTGGGATAGATTTAGGTTACTGGAGACTGATGAGTCAAAATCTCAGTATCGAAAGGCTCGGAATACTTGTGCCTCGACCCTCCGTAAGTCTAGAAAATTGTACGAAGGAAAACTTGTTAAGGAATCCATAGAATGTCCTAAGCGCTTGTATTCCTATATAAACCAAAGGACAAGGAGAAAAGGAAATATTCCTGCTCTATGGGGAGACAGTACTGCTTCATCATTAGTGGAGGACGACTTTGGTAAGGCTCAAGTGTTCTGGAACTACTTTAGCAACGTATATACCATAGAAGCGCCCTTCCCGTCAGCGTATACAGATCCCCCATACATACACTGGATAGCGTGACCATTAAAGAACTCGATGTTTTTGGTCTGCTAAATAAGCTTGACATAGGTAAATCCACGGGGCCCGATGAATTACATCCTAGGCTACTGAAGGAATTATCTAACTTCGTTGCAAGCCCTTCAAGTACATGCTTTAACCTAACCGTTACGCAGGGTCGTTTACCGAAAGACTGGAAAAACGCCATAGTAAGTCCTGTCTTCAAAACAGGTACGAAACACAAACCTGAGAACTACCGCCCCGTTAGCCTAACTAGTGTGGTTGTTAAAATATTAGAAAAGATTATTCGGAAGGGGCTGTTTAAGTATCCCGATAAAAACCGGATCCTCTCGGAGAAGTAGCATGGCTTCAGAATAGGTTATTCTTGTCTCACTAACTTATTAGTGGCTCGTGAAAGCTGGTGCGCTCTTAAGGACCAAAAGCTACCTGTAGACGTCGCCTTCATTGATTTCAGCAAAGCTTTTGACAAGGTTCCGCACAACCGGCTGTTATATAAGTTAAGAAATGTCGGGATTGGAGGCAATCTATTTATGTGGATAAAAGACTTCTTAGTCGGGCGTCAACAGAGAGTAAGGGCGAACTCAAAGTTATCTAGCTGGGAAACTGTGCTTAATGGAGTGCCCCAGGGTACAGTTTTGGGGCCAGTGCTATTCCTCTTGCATGTAAATGACCTTCCTTGTCTCATATCATCGTCGGTCTTGACAATGTCAAGATATGGAAAGCGATACGATGTAAGGGTGATAGCTTAGAACTTCAAAATGACTTGAAGAATTTATCTGAATGGTCTCAAACATGGCAGTTGCCGATAAATACTTCCAAGTGTGTTGTGATGCATATCGGTCATCAAGGTACAGATACATACACGATGAATAACACTGAGCTACCTGTCGTCCAGACATATAATGACTTAGGAGTTATCGTTAGTCAAGACTTAAAGACTACTCCACACTACCGTGCAATAGCCGCCAAAGGTTTTAGAACCTTATGGTCAATACGTAGAGCTTTTAGTCATGTCGACACTAAAACGTTTTTGACGTTGTATGCAGTGTTCGTTCGTCCTAAACTTGAGTACTGCATACAAGCGGCTAGCCCCTGCTTTAAAAAAGACAGTGAGCTTCTGGGAAATGTTCAGAGAACGGCGACCAAGCTGATTCCCGGAATAGCGAAGCTTCCATATGATGGTCGACTGGCCAAGCTGAACCTTTTCCCGTTGTCATATCGCAGAACTAGAGGCGACTTGATTACAGTCTACAAATTGCTTAGTGATAAATTTGCACCTGATATGGCCTCATTTTTCTTGTCTTCCAAAACAGAGAATTTACGAGGACACTCCAAAAAAGTTCATAAGCCGCGAACAAATTACTTGTCAGCTGACTATCGACTTTCCCATCGAATCATCAACGAGTGGAATTCACTACCTCAGCACGTGGTTGAGGCTCCATCCGTCGACTTTTTCAAAAGAAAGTTGGATCAACTGAGAGACGACCATTGCCAGGGCTAACATAGGCCATCGGGCCTCCTATCCTTCCCAAACTGAAACTGAATGGGTACATCTTAAAATACAGAAGGTTTATATTTCAAGACATAGTGATCGGAATTTTTCAAAATTCCGAAATTCATGGGGCTATATCAAATTTAAGGTCATTGTCTCTTGAATATCCAGTGGAAGCCAATAAGATTCCTGCGCTATTGGCGTAATATGAGTCATCTTCATTTCTACGAGCCATGACGATTTTCATCCTGAAATCTCCCTCGCTCGTTTCATAGTTTCTCTGAGGTTGTCATTATTAAAATGCGAAAATTGCGACTTGCTGCGCAGACTTTTTACGTTAGGGAATGTTTAACACTAATATCCCCCCAAAAAATTAACCAAGTTCAGTCATAACATTAGTTCAAGATAGGACACCCTTAAGCTAGAGTAGGATAGATAACAGGTTTGGTTTCGCTTTTTGAGAGCTGTACAGTCATGAAATGTGCTGCCATTCTAGGCGGTGTAAGCAAATCTTCCGAGCATTCCGGAGGAAACATGATATTATTTACGTAATAATCAGTATATTCCACACCAGTTTACCGAAATTTCCCATTCTTTCCGTTTTAATCACACTTATTTTGATCGATGTGTAAAGTGTTTCGAAGAGCATCATTTAAAAACACGGACCCAAAGAGTTCGACATCAGTTTAGTAATTTGTTTGACTGGAGTCGAAAAATAGATGTAAAGTGTTACAGGTAAACACAAATTTCTTGAATATCGTGTTGCTTATCCTTGAGGATTGTTCATATTTAGCGGTTTGCTGATTTCTTAACTGTGCTTTGTTTCTTCTAACTATTCATTTTATACTTCAGATTTGCAACTCTATGGGATTTTTTAACTTCTCAAGGTCGAAACAGAAGAGCGAGTGTTGACCGTAGTCGGTTTGTTATGGCGTAAGTTTGGGTGAATTCGCTCATTTACCTACACACTATAATGCAGTACTTTTAGTTAATTTCGTCCTGTAAACTAGAATTAATGTGCACAACTATCTTATGTTCACATCTGCTGTGACAATCCTCATAGCCACATTCAATAACTTTATACTTGTGAAAGTGTTCTGACTTGTGTGTTTTTAATGTTTCCTGACTCTCTAAAATAGCTTAAAGCATGGTGGTCGAGTGTTTATTGTGTTATGACAAAGAAAATCATGCTGCAGTGTAAAACAGTTCGTCACTAGTGTACTCTGTAGACTTTAACATGGAGAGACTATAATTTATGGACGGACAAATCACATTTAAGATTACAGGTCTTGGATTTCGGCACGAACTTTATTCATTTGGCTAAATAGCGTTTTGGCATTTTAGCTCATGCCAGTTCGTGATGAAGATAATAAATCTAATTCCTAACCCTAACCATCAAAATCATAATTCCAGCTCTCTACACTAGTTTATAGCACTCATTTGGCTCTAGTAAATGGGTGGCCATCCTCAAGGTCACTTTACTGTCGGCTAAAACGCATCCATAAATTATAGTTTCATCTTTCGAATAATAAAATTCGTGAGATGACACTAAATATTTAAGGACATGTAAAAATAATCGCGACTCCATTGACTTTATATCATTTAGCTCAGTGGCCCTACCCATAAATAACGATTTTCTTAGACCGTAACCTTAGCATCCCGAAATGAATCAGGCCAATAGTCAGATTGATGTATCTTGGTCTTCCCTATTTAGTTTACTTAGTGCAGGCGATCGATACGATCTCGTCAGGCTAAAACTGACGGAAAGTATCGTTTTTCAAATATTAGAGAACCTGTTTTGTTAAGTATGGGGCAATACTTTTGTACGAATGGTTGACGAATATGTAGTTAAATTATGTATTCTGGGGAACTGCATTCGTTTCGCATTAGAAAAAATCTCGGTTTTGGCACAAAACCTCATCTAATTTTTCCCCTTTATGTAGTCTTTAGTACATCCAGGGAAGTCAAGCGGGATTTCGTAAAGTTATAACGAAAAAAATGGAGTTACCCCAGGTTATAGATTACTTACAAACTACTTTATTTTCATTAATTTTCTTCATGTCATGTTTCGTTATTGTAGTGAGTGTGCCGTGGCCACAGCAAAAGCAAATGTTATGCTGTATGATTCGAAGGCTAGTACTTGGATCCCAAGTGGCCCAGGACATGGCATTTCCAAAGTTCAACTATATCACAACACGTTAACTAATGCCTATCGAGTTGTTGGATGGAGGTTACCAGATCGTGAGGTATGGCATAATTAGTGGTTACTTTCTTGAAGTTCTTAAAAGACGATTTTTTAAGGCTACCTAATAGATGTCTAAATACAATTCTTTTGTGCTGATTATAAGGCAGTAGCCTTGTCTTTTAGAAGTTCTTATCACTGAACGACATCAATTAAGTAACCATATCGAAATAGAGATCCTGAAAGCTCATTATATCTAATTCATTTTTAACGGTTAGTCGAATCTTCTTGCTATTAGTGTTAAGGACTGCTTTAGTGGCCCGAGATCTGACTTCAGTTAGATCATGTGATTGATTGTTATTGAGTTATGCATATCGTCACTCGTATAAAATTATAGACTTAACTCGTGTTGGTGAATAACGGAATTAAATAGGTCAAATGCGAGAATGTATGTTTGAACACATATATTTTGTACAGTCGTTGATCGGAACAGACAATCAGAGAGTCGCAGCGAATAAAGCGAAAAAGAGAGAGCGAAGCGAAACAAGGATGCGCGGTGGAGAGGGCATATGAAAAACTCCATTTGGTCAAGCGTTAATCGATATTTATAGTCACACAAAAATAAGCTACAGACTTGTGATGAGTAGGATAAGATATACAAGCATACGCTCATATCAAGACAGTCAGGATTGATAAGGCAATAATTAACAAGGTCAAAACATGACTCAAGAAGAATGGATAAATTGGCCTGTCCAGAAGTTAGAATAAGTTGTATGGGCTTAACATAGTAACCGACACTGCACTGCAAATGACCAGTGTCTTATGTCATTATGTATCCTGTGAGTATCTCCTCAACACTCCCTTCAAATCACTATATCTTCCTTGATTTGGTTCATCAGTTTATTATTGAGGTCATCCAAATGTTTTTTGCATATCCATGTACATTGTGTATCTACCTATTACTTCAGAAAACTAGTATTTATCGCTTTACTGATTTTGGTTTGGTTTATGGCATCATTTAGTTATCTTCCGATATAATCGATAGATATTCATCATTTATCAACTTGATCGAGCTTGTGTGGCACAACTACTATGTGTAATTTTGAAGTGAGCCCCCAATTCCATCTTACTTTTAAAAAATAAAGTTCGTAGTTATAATCATTTGATAGCAGACAAATGTTCAGACTTGTTAAGGAAACCGGTATTAGGAACCCGACTGTTAGCGAAACTATCTCAGAAAAAGATGGACATATTATACATTCTCAATCCAGGAAATTGGATCGATGGGAAGAACACTTTAGGGATCAGTTCAACTGACCTTCAGCCACACTTCGGTTTCCCACGATCTCCAGTCTACCTGAATGGCAAGTTAATGTAAGTCCTCCGACTCTTTATGAAGTTGAAAAAGCTATATGAAATCTGAAGCGTGGGAGAGCAGCACGCCCTGACAGGCTTACCCCTGGGATTTTTAAAGATGGCGGTCCAGTATTAGCAGCAAGATTGACTGAGGTCTTAGGTAGAATCTGGGAACTGGACGTAATCCCATCTGACTGGTCCCAATCACTGATTGTGCCAGTCTATAAGAAAGGACAAAAGCTTCTTGTGACAATCACAGAGGAATCAGTTTGACTAATATAGTGTCTAAAATATTAGCTTCAATAATACTTCGACGCCTAACTAAAGCTCATGAAGAGCAGACTAGAGAAAATCAGGCTGGTTTCAAACCGATGGTGCACACGGGCTCCGGGACCAAATGGCGTATGAACCAATTCCTTGGTCACCGGTTACCGTGGGACTGCATCTCCTGACGTTGTTCCACTGCCTTGTGGATCAGACCTTTAGGTCGAAAGCCCCGGGTGTGGTCCCCTAAGAAAACCACTTGCTTCGGTTCGGGCACATGGGCACTATCCCAGCCCACACAAAAAATCAAGTGCCTTATGTAGCGCATATGTGTTCGCTGCCCCTTTGTGCCAATATTTATATGTTCAACTAAATAAATGACTATTAAAGTATTAAAAACCGTTGTCAAAATGACTTCTGTGTTACTCTTATCCCTCTGACTACTACTGATGTTCAGTGAAGATTTTTTCTGCAACCAAAGCAGTTTTCCTAAAAGCTCCCTGAGTGATTTTATATCATTAATTTATTTATAACTTCTTACCGTTGCTAATCTTTGCATATATGACTATTAGGTTGTTATTAATTGTGCCATTGCACGTGGGTTAAAATATCATCAAGCGCGTCCAACGTTTCATCAGTGGCGTGATAGTAGACAACAAGTTTACGGCTTGAATTTCACATCAGTTGAAGAAGCAGATGCATTTGCTGCCGCTGTTAAATCAGCTTTAGAAAGTCTAGCTGCACTACATTGTCAACAGGCTTTACAAGCTCAACAATGTAAGCCTCCTGTCACTTATGATCAGTTGGTATCAAATGAAACAACAACAACTACTACTATTAATCAAGATATGCAACTAAACCAATATCAACAATCAAAATACCAAATACCAAATCAACAGCTATCATCGAATCAACAAGTAACTAACTATACCAATAATAACAATCAGGCATATTCTGCACAACCTGCGGGAATATTAGTCCAAAATCGTCAGATTTCATCCTCTGTAAGTGTGTGTGTACGTTTTTTTGTATCCTCACTTATGATTTTTATAATCCCTCATATCCAGTTATAACAACGATTGTTTAATTTTATCGTTGACGTGCTTTTAGAGATAACACTTTCCTCATCTAAATTTCCAGGGGTTGAACTTCTACCGGGAGATTCATTTGTTAACTTAGAATATGCCGATGACATAGTTCTATTTGGTGAAGACGCTGACAAAATGCAGAGTCTTCTGACCACTCTAAGCAACAATGCAGGCATGTTCGGGATGCGATTCTCCCCCTCGAGATGCAAAATGTTGCTTCGGGATTGGGTTGCATCGCCACCCGAACTATTAATAGGGAGTGAAGTAGTTGAGCGTGTCGACCGCTTCACTTATCCGGGAAGTCTCATCAGCCCTTGTGGTTTGGTGTGTGACGAAATCTCAGCACGGATACAGAAGGCTCGATTAGCTTTTGCCAACTTGCGTCATTTATGGCGTAGGCGAGATATCTGTCTACCAACCAAAGGACGTGTTTACTGTGCAGCAGTTCGTTCCGTCCTACTTTATGGCAGTGAAACATGGCCGGTAAGTGTAGAGGATATTCGTAGGTTACTGGTATTCGATCATAGGTGTCTTCGAAGCATTGCTCGTACATACTGGGACCATCGAGTAAGTAATGCAGTTGTTAGAAAACGCGTACTAGGTAAGGATGGCGAATCAATTGATGACGTAGTGAAACGTCATCAGTTGAGATAACTGGGACACGTGTTACGTATGCCCAACCACCGACTGCCCCGACGTGCTATGTTTTATGGTGTAGGAGTAGGTTGGAAGAAAGCTAGGGGCGGCCAGACCAAAACATGGCACAAGTCCATGAATTCACTGACAAGTGGACTGAGCCATGTTGGTAGGTGTAGACTACCTGGTTGGGATCCGCCAGACGATAGCAACCGATGGTTAGAGACCTTGAATGACATGGCTCAAAATCTCATCTATTTGATTTTGAAACAAACGTATATACTCGTGTGAATTGCTGACACCTACACCAGTCACTTTCTCATATATTTCAAATTACGATGGTCTCTTCTAGCCATAGTGCTATCTAAATTTATAGGCCCGGATTCTAGTTAGCTGGACATTGATTTGTAATTCGTTACATTACCGACTCTATCATAGTCTAATTACCTTGATTTGACCATCGAGGTGACGTGTATGCTTATCCCTCTTATCGTAATTTGTCCTATCATGTGGTAAAACTACTTATTGCCGACTACTATTAAGTTACATTTTCCTTTCAGTTCAATGAAGAACTTGATTTACTCTAACGCAGTATTTTTGCTATATTTTTTTCGAGTTTCACTATTTTGGTATATTCTTTATTTATTTTTTTTTCATTATTATTTACAGGACATAACTGAACCAACTGAAAGTTACACCGATCAGAACAAAGCATTGTCATCATCGGCATTATCGAATCAGCAGTCTGATCGAGACACTTTATGCAATGATTACAATGAGGCAATTGTGAACAGTGTAAATAATATTATTTTAAGTGATAATCAGAATGTCTACCCGGGTTATACAACAACATGTAAAACTAATACCTCTAATCTTCAGAATACTGAAAGTAAGTCTTCATTGTTGGTCTTTGAATTTTTGCAAGCACATGTTTATCTGTACATAACATTTTAGAGAAATTTATTTGCTATAAAATTCATGTTTAATTATTGGTCTGCTGTAATAATAGTGGTAGTAACAATCCTGTACTCAGTATTTCAAGATAATCGATGGGAAATCCAGTTAAAATTTATCAGCCAAAGGTATACTTGTTAGTTCAATTTGCTTACCATTGTTTTGGAGTTATTATTATTATTATTATTATTATTATTATTATTATTATTATCAGTACCAGTAACGTAGCAGTAAAACAAATATTATGGGTTCGAACCCCGGAAGTTAAGGTGGTGGTTGGAGGTATTCGATAGGAAACTCAGAAGTTATATAAGCATTTGTGTTTGGTAAGTTATTTCACAACTATAGCTTTAGCTTATTCTTTTAAAAGAAATCAGGAAAGATGTTTTATTAAAATTTTATTGTTGCTTGCTGGAAGAAAACTAGGGACAGTCAGACAAAAATGTGGCCTCAATCTATGAAGTCATTTACTGTTGGACTGATACATGTTGGTAGGTGTATACTACTTGTTTTGGGTCCTAACGGTTATTGTGACCGATGGTTGGGTACGTTGGCTGATATAATTTTTCATCAATACCTAATCTTTTCTGCTACCACTACTCCTGATACAGTTACCACTTCTACTACTCTGAGATTTGGATTGGTAGTTTGATCTCTCTGTGCCAACCTATTGTGATCATTTAAACATATACACATATATACAGATTCTACGTTTCATATGACTGATAAGTGTTTACAGAACTCTAATTTAAAATTAAATTGATATCACAATCACGAAAATGTTCGTTTTAGTGTTATATTTTTTGGTGTCGACATATTGTCGGATATATTATTATTATTAACAAATAATAACTGAATTAACTCGAAATACATTACAGAAACGGTTATAGTTGTCAAAAATAATTGGAGTATAATAGTTTGTATAAATATGACTTACGTATCATCAAAGGAGTGTGCATTCTCATTCTATTGACCGGTTCTTTTTTACTATGATTCAACTACTAGTCAATCATCGGTGCTACTCGGACTGATTTGCTAAATTGTCACATAACATGAAATCTCTCTGTTAGGTTCGGAGTGAAAAAAAGAGCAAAGAATGTTTATTTCAGAGACATGCCCTGTAGTGGGTTCAAATCCCATCCTCGTTTTCAGTGTTAGGTTCGCTACTTGATTAACGCAGAATACGGTTTACGACTACGACACTCGAGCGTTGAACTTCACCGTCGCAAATCAGAAGACAAAAGAAAAGCTGGAGAAGTGTTTATTTGGTAAGAATCGAAATGTACAGGAAATCACGGGTATTTATAGATATTAGCATTTGTTAAATCAACATTAATTATATTTTGGCCAACCCGCAAAGAGACATATGCTACTGACCAATAGTAGCGTGCCACGTTGATATTATAGAAAGCCCCATCATGATCTGATTGACTGGAGACTTCGGCACCTTTAGGGCCTCTGGAGGCTCCGTCGTAGTTCTCGGAAGCTGACTGAACATTCTCTTTTGTTGTGCAGTTAAAGCTAAGGAAATATTGTTGTCACGTATTTAAAAATGGTGTTAGACATATTTTTTTAAAAAAACATGTGTTTACTGTGAAAACTAGAAAGCAAACTAATAATTTATATAAAAATTCTTGAAATTTCCAAATAATTGATAAGGAATATTCGTGCTTTCATAATCATAGTAATGGTAATAACAAAGATCCTACCTTTACAAATGTTGGGGTGATCCAGAAAATTGCTTGCAAAAGACAAGCAAGCATCAGGAATCACTAAGATGCGTTTCGTCCAATCAGCGTTCACCTGAAGTTTTTGCCAAAAATATCAAGGAAGCGAAACGTCACATGTACAGGTTCTGATTGGCTGGCTGCTACACTGCTAATATGTTTAGTAGCATTCCAGAATCTTCTAAGCAACCCAAGGATATTTAAAATATTATATAAACCCTGTATTCTCTGTATTAAAATGAACCTTGGAGTAAACTACTTCTCGCGTACTTTGAGTCTCCTCTCTCGTGTTCAGGTCGCTCTATAGTTCTAGCTTGGGGGTAACAGAATAGCTTAGGAGACGAATATAGCGTTCAGTCCGCAAGACTTATCAATAAATCACTAACAAATCAAGTTACGGAAATTCATAAGCGCACTACGTTTGCGTTCTCTTTCATTGATTATATCAAAAGATCACACTAATTAATTTATCAATTATCATAAATTCAGTTGACTAAATGAGAAGAATCTATATTAGTCAATGAGTAAATGTTGTTTCTGTGTGCATGAGACTTGAACATCTTGAGCGACTCATTAATGATTAGTTTCAAACCAATGGTAAGACAGTTAGATGCTGTTTCCTGTTTTCTCACAGATGGTGAAGTTTATTATGTAGATCACTCAACATTCACACTGATTCTGAAAGTCATCAGTGTCCGCCTTGTAACTTCCAAAATGCTCTTTTTGTTTAAAACATTTATAATAGATGAGTTTCTTCATTCTCTTGTGCTATGAGAGTGTTACAGTGTGATTTGGGTCTTCTAGATAGTCTTTGTACCAAACTCATATATACTGTTGGGTTGTGACTGTTACTGACCTCCTGTATACTTATGCTTCCATCGTTACTATGTTTTTATTCTGATGACTAAGGCATCTAAGAACGGAATTTCGTTCATGGTTTCTTGCTTTCTTATTGTTGTTACCGAAGATGATGCTGACGATTAACTGATGAATATTTCCAAATTGATCTCTTTTAAATATAGGATAAATATTTGACCTATGTAATTCATCCCGATCGATCGATCGATCAACTGGTATAAGTTGTAAAAATTAGAACCACTTACGTTACGCAACATTCCATAGTTTGTTAGTATTGTCTAACAGACAAAAACATGTGAAATACAGACACAGTTAAACTGATCTTAGATTAATTCTTTGTGTATTGTGTTAAATAACTTAGGTCGAATGACTAATTCAACAAAAACACACGAGCTGGTATGATAATCTGACGGAAAGAAGAGAAATTAAGTTGATTACTGTTCAGCACATGAACTATCTTACATATATCGTTGTTGTTGCGTTCCTGTTTCTTCTCAATTCACTCAACAACTCTATATCCTTATTTCCTCTTTTGTAACCTGAAATTCTGTTTAATTATATTTTGGAAAATTTCTGTCTTTTTTTTCGTTTACCATTATTGATAGACTTGTTAGTTTTGGTAGGTGAATCAAATGGACGAGTTGATAAAGCAAACAGACCAATGTTTAATATATCTAAGTTTAAACTGCCCTTTTGTGTGTTATGTTGGTTGGAGGTAATTGGAAAGATATCCTCAACCTAGGTTTCGTGTTGCCCGATACTGGCCAGCTAGATATAGCTACAGTCTATTGCTGTCTGTGTGATATTCGAATTTGCGTCACCCAGCTTTACAGTCTGATATGTCACCACAGCCAGTTAGCATACGAAACTTAAGTTTTGTGTTTTCTGCCAACTATCTCCAACCACTTAACATTTTAACATAATGGATACGATGTCAATTTGCATAGATTAGTGGTTGCATTGTAACTTCATAGAATTTAGTCAGTACTAAAGGACCAGACAAAAGTAACATTGGTTTGTACTATGTGCTTAACTATTTGTTTCTTTTTATTTTATATTTAAAAAAACATCAAATACAATTTTGTTTATTCTGTAAACAATTCTTTTCATATACCTTAATTTACTGTGATTATTCACGATAGCAATCAAAGACATGTCTGTCTAGCCGTCAGTGTTTGCCAAATTTTATAGACTGTTTTCAACGTGAAACCAAGCCCAAGTAACTAAATGTCACGCCTACTATACTTTGATGCACTAAGGATTAGATAAGCATAACATTTGTGATCATTGAATGTAAAAATCTCAGCCCTATGACAGTTCAATCGCATACGGAATCCCTCACTGGTAGCGTCTGAAACTTTTATATTACGTGATGAATGGCTAAATTTTACGGGGAGCGTTAATTCTCACAAGATTACAAATACAGTTTCCTAATAAGTACTAACTTAAATGATAACTTCTCACTGATTGTTAGAAATTCATCTGGACTTAGAACTGCTTATCGAGGAACTAGGCCTGAAGGAATCGTTAATACACTGTAGACGAGAAATATATTTCGAATGAGGCTCATCAATTCAGAATCCAACACATTGTTCATATACAACGTCAACAATCTGTAACAAATATGTGGGTCGTCATGTCAATGTTTGCATATAATTAAATAATACGGGCAATAATTAGATCAATTACTTACCGGGTAATTTTTAGCGACATAGGTTGGGACCCCACTCCATTCACTTCATTAGTTTAGGGACCCAAGTAATATCAGTGTGACTTTTACACATTGAATTGCGACCAAAAGTTAAGTACATAAGCTCATATATATGGTAAACGATTTATACATCAAATTAAAGATACTACTTGTGAGTCCAACCATTGAATTGTGTCTTTTTAATACATTGTTGGCTACCTTACATGATATGACTCAGAATCGTTCGCAGTGACACAAATGTATTCACTCTTCACCATCCTATTAATCTCGAAGTCCAATATACTTTCATATATATGCCTTTCTAATTTGTCTTGTAAAATCATCTTTCCATAGCTTAGTTTTGCTTTTTATCATTCGTACTACATTACTTCGATCTCTTTTGTTATTTTCATCTCATTGTCCTATGGGATCTGAGTCAAGAATATCTGTGCCAGACTTCTTTATTGATGTTTTTTGTTTGTCATTATTATTTTACTATTCTCTGTTATAAAACGATTGTACAAACTGTTAAGAAATGCACAATATTTTCTGTAAATTCAGCTTGAATCAGTAAAAAAAAAGACAACTGTTTCTTGTTTTGTTTACAGTCTCTATTTTTAATTCTACATAGATGTAAATGGTTTATAGACCTATATCTAGACTAGTTTGAACTGTACTAAATTATGCAATTTATTGTTTTATCATGTAAACTTATTATTAAATGGTAAATTTTCTTTGTTGTTTATAAGTAGTTGTAATGTGTAAATATGATTGTGATAATTCTCTTACTTGGTATATAAATTATATTCAACAAATGGTACACTTTGTTTATTTCTAATATTTAATTCATGACACGAATTATCTTATATGTGACACATACAATATATACCATGCCTATGATATTATACAATGTTATCATCTTCATTTTTATTGCATAACATATTCGTGTTTTGGTTTGATAATAATTACTATTTAATTGCATATCATATGATTTGTATAATAAATAATTCGTTATACTTGTTTTGATTAAAATTACGCCATTCATTTCATAGATGTTGATAATCGATCTATTTATACAGTCAAGTAGTCAGTGTTCATTATGAACTAACATAAACCGGAAATCCATTAAAAGAATCTTCTGCACATTTGAGTTTTTTCTTTCACTTAATCTTGAGTAATTTAACTGTGATAATGGTAAATTTAAGAAAGATGATGATGATTTGTAGCTCAAGTGCATGATTTTGTTGAAATAGCGTTCTCTGTACTGTGTAGTTTTATCATGGAGCTTTCATTGTCTTTCTAGACAATATGATCATCATAAACGTTAAACTAGAGTATGCTTTGAGAATTCCTCCATAAGTGACTAACGGTTTGTTCTTTTGATCTTCAATTTTGACTGATTGTTGTTGGCCTTTATCCTGTTATAGTTCACTTCAATCGAAAGTTTATATTGATGGTATTGTGTAGAAAGACAATGAAAGGCTCACATATGAATCACCCTATGCAAAGAACTCAGTTTTAACAAAGTATAGACCTTAGTCACTAAATCGGCATCTCAATTTAATTTCGGAAAATTATGGTATGTATTTTATAAACTGGTTCTGTCATTATATAATACTGAAGTGAAATTCGTTACCAATTTATTGTCTTGAAAAGAGTTTATATTTGTATTTGTATTTGATAAATCTTCTAACTGAACTCCTGAATCGGTTTCCTAAGCTCTTCTTACAACCCCAGTCTAAATCTACAAGACAACCTGAACACGAGAGAAAAGCCGCGAAATATGAAAAGAACGCCTTACTTCAAGGTAGGTTTGTGTGCCGAAGTTCAGATGGCCTTGGGCTTCTGGAACCTTAATGAACATAGTAGTAGGATAGGTGATCACCCGATCAGAAATGTGACAAGTGACTCTCCACTCTCTAAATGTTTCTGAAACACCACTATTCAATGTTGATTGAATAAGATGTTTCCCAGCGTTTTCAGGACCCCTCTGGGTATTTTTCGAGGAATATTCTGGGTTACCCCGACATTATTATATACATATGGTTTAGAAAGTGTTAGTTATTCTTTTTTAAGTCTTGATTATTACACTTTCCTTTTTGCTGTTCCCCTATTTTTAATTTTAATGATTTATTGACTTTAACATTTTTATTATTTATTGGTTCTCATGTTCCATTTTGTATTACAAATAGTTCCACGTCTTAAATCATCAACGGAACAAAATGTATCCGCGATAAATGGTTGTTCAATGAATGGTAATACAGAACATGGTGTAAATTGTGATTCACCGTAAGTGTTTTTTATTTCAAGAAGTTATTGTTTTTAAGATGATGAATATTAATGCAAAAATGTTGATCGATTCTATTATCCAATGTTTACTCTTTTTACTTCATTAATATTTTGGAGGCTATATGGGTATTTGTTTGAAATCAATGTTTCCCATTTACATCCGTTGGGGTATTTGTGTGAACACAATCGGTTTAAGCGTTGGGTTTCCACTTTCCAAATTTTACCGGAACAATCGTATCTCATAATGACAGGAAATAAGACCCTCATGCAAAAGTACGGTGTGATTGTGCTGTTGTATGAGAATATATTAAGAAGGGACATAAACTCTCCTTGACATTTGTTGTAGCATAACATTCAAAAGTTTAGCTAAATTAAGAAATGCACAGTTTGTTGCATTTTAAAATAATCGAAAAAGGATGTGTAGAGAAAAAGAAAGAAGATACAGAGAAATGAGAGTTGAAAAGAAACATTAGCTCAGAAAATAGAACATAAATTTTTATGTTAGGGTTAAAAATAAATAGGTATTTACCCTTCGGGTCTGTTCTTTGACCACACCATCAATTACAATAAGTATAAGTAAATTGAGTGGTTGGTTGACTGAAGTGGTTTCGCTTCACCCAAATCATTATCATGTACCTTGCCTAACACAAATTATTTATTCTACTTAATTGATGTAATAAGTATAACAAATATCGACCCAAAATTCACAGCATAGCAGTTGAAAATAAACTGTTTCAAGAACATTATCACACCGGTTAGTTCTGTGCGTATAAGTGCTTATATTTAAGTAGTTAGCCACTTTGTTGAGATAATTCTCTATTGGATAATAAAAGGTTTAAAGGAAGGTCATATTGACAGAAATTACCTTTTTTTCATATAATACATCCAACCACTTCACAAATATTTGTTGTCAATCCATATCTATAATGTAATTAAATTAATTCATTACTGTTTAATAATTTTCTATTATTATTATCATTACTTTTTCTAAAGTGAGAAATTCAATTTGCCTTGTTACAACGATTGATTATTTTACATACAATTTAATAGAATAGGTAATTTGGGCCAGGATAGTTGTAGAACTTAAAAGGCAGAGAAATAGATAGATAGATAGTGTGATATAGAGAGTTATTCAACATAAAACATTGTTAATGCTGTGAAAACCTTTCTCTGTCTTATTCTGCTTGTTCTTCACTCAAGTTATCTGATTAATCTCATTATCATTAAAGTAAATTTCTAGTTTAGGAACTTAGGTGAGGAAGAAAAAATGAGGATGATTGACATATGTAGGGTGGTGATATATATAAGTGAAGTTTCTATTTCCATATCTCTTAAGGTAGTGTAATTAATGAAACAGAATGTGATTTACATAAGTTTTTGTATAGTCTCTGTAAATATTGGCTATTCTGATTGGTATCTTAGTGAGAAAATAAAGAGAAAATTTATGCGTATCAATAAATATACGCCTTTGCTTTAATCTTGATTCATTTCAATTAGTTTACAATGCCACAGGCAGCTGATATGTATATTCAAGTTATCATCTATATATTTTTCCTAAATTATAATTCAATAAATTCTACATGACCTGTCTAACTGTTTTTTAACCAATTTGTAATGGTTTCAACTATTGAACTTGTATTATTATTGTTATTATTATTATTATTATTATTAAGTGTTTTCTTTAATTTAGATGTAGCGATCAAATGTTCCATACATATATGTATAGTTCCAATTTTAGTATGAATAATCAGTATACGATATAAGAATATAGCTTAGTGGCTACATATTTAGGGTCTTCATTTATGCTGCTATTTCTATCTGTTTTACGTACGGCAGTTGTGCATTATCTGATTACTTAAATAGTGATCAACTTAGAATACTCAGATGACATAGTCCTGTTTGTTAAAGACGCTGATAAAATGTAGTCTTTTGGTAGCACTGAGCGAAAATGCCAGAAGGTTTGAGGTGCCTTTCTCGTCTTCTAAATGCGAGTCATTGCTTCAAAACTGGCCTGCGTCAATATTTGAACTAAAGATGGAGTGAAGTAGTCGAACGTGTCTCAGAATCAATCATAGTGATTTAGGTGTATACACTCTTTGTCTTCCCTGAAACCGTGAGGTTAAAATTGCTTTATACCTTTCTTTCTACCAACTAATTCTTTCTTCCTGTATTATATCCTTATACACAATCTTTGTTTTATATAATACTACCTTTGAAGTGACTATTTCTATGAATTTGGTGTTGATCTTGTTGTGCTAATGAAGTGTGACAACTTGAACCGATGCATATATGTGCCTGATACTACGTCGTAGCTGACTAACTGTTTACTTAACTCATAATATTCACTGTGAATAAAGTAGTAACATACTTGTGTTATTTTTATTCAACAGTATAAGTTCTTGTATAATCGTTAATCGTCTTGTTTGTTCTGATTCTTTTCCAATATTTTGGAGTATTTCTTTTTGATTGAATAAATTTTATGAATTTTCGACTTGATTTAACCTTGTCATTCATTCAGTTCCACTTTGCACATATATATATTTCAAAGAGCAATGGACAGTCAGATTCTGATTACTTGATTTCCATTGTATTATTTCCTGGGTGTAATCTACAGGTTCTGAGTTCGTCTGTCTAAGTGGATCATATATGCCAAACTGTTGACGAGTCCTCAAATTAGAACGAATTACTCGTTCGTTTATTTATGGATTTGAATTATTTACTATAACAATTTCTTGACTAGGCTATGTCAATCAAGTCATATTTATGTTTAGTCTAGAAATATGTCAGATTTCAATTCATTTTTAGCTGTACTTTTGCTGTGGCTTTGTTGTTAATCATTTTGACGTTATGTACTATTGATTATCTCATTGCTATCGTTTTAACCGTGCCAAATACTCACTTGGTAATAATTAATGAATATGTGAATTTGAACATATAGAATTGACATATTATGCAATATGTAGTACGAGAATAGACAAAATTTAAATTACAAGTTGAATATTGATGGTGGTTAGACAAGAATTGTGTAAGAAGGAAGAATACAAGAGGAAATTTTAAGACTGTTGATAAACAAGAATTCCGTCGTAACTCCTGAGATAGGGAACGGGGTTCTACAAATATCTTATGAATTCCTAAGTTTGTCTGTTGAGGTGAATAGTGATAACTTCCGTTGTATACAAAAGACGTATCTATGTAGTCCCCAATGACAGAATGGATAGTGTGATTGATCACTCGAAATTCTTTATATCCACTTGGTCACCCGTATTTGTTAAGTGATCAAGTATAAATGTCTAAATCGGCCTTAATTATTCCATTTTCTTACATAATTATCATTAACATTTCACTTGCCGATAATACTATGTAGATTTTCACATTAGATATTATTACGTAATATGGAAATTCTATAACTATGTTGTGCAATTGATTTTTTTGTTTTTATTTTGACAACTTGAACCAATGTATTTCTGGTGTTAGGGTTTACGTTGATATTGACTAACTAATGGGTGATTATATTTATCGTTCAATAAACATTAGTGTTTAAGTGAGACTAAAAGAAGTATGTATTCCTAGAATTTATATAGTAAACTGACCAAATATAGATCCGTACGTTAGGATATTCTTTTTGTTTATAGAGACTAGTGACACTACCTAACAATTGGCTGAATATTGGTCCATCGATATAATGAATCTGATCTTACACGTGAATAACATATACTTGTACTTATATTATACATATCTTAAATTCTTAGCAAATGTACTTTTAAATCGTACTCTGATTATTTACAAAATGTAGATCTTTACTTTCTAATGTTTTATTCATAGAATTTATACCTTTTTTTCCCTTAATGAATACTAATTAGACATGTAATTATCTATTCAACCATATTGAATTTGATTTTTATTAATTCAAATCTTCTTTTGAAGTTTTTATTTTCAATGAGTTAGTTTCTCATTTATTTATCTATTTATAAATTCATTTATTATATCACTGAGTACATTTAAAAAAAAAAATAAATTGACTTGCTTACCAGATACTTGAGTATGAGCATTTAGTCTAAGTATGAGGGTTAATGATACTGTAGTGAACAAGAACATCAATGGGGTACAATCGAATGTATTTGACACAAAATTACAGGACTTGTTAATAAAATACGTGAATACGTAATTTGTAAAATGTCCATCAATTGTCTCTTAATGACTCAGAATTCATTGTTCTTGCATTTTCATGCAAATCGCATTCTGTCCCCATTCTTTACTGTTCGATCCCCTTGTCTCTCTGCTGCCAGACATTCTGTTCACAAGTAACGTCATATACTACTTATGTCAATATCAGTAGCACACACCACACTCGCCCCCCCTCTTTAAAGCAGTCGTTCTTGCGGTGGTTCATGCTCGCCGTGTCACATTCTTCTTTTCTTCAGTCTGTGCTACGCCCTCAAGCTGATGTAGATAGAATGAAGATTGAACTCTGTAGTTAGTGGTTGAATGTTGAACTATTAAGTCACTGTTTTATTGTAAAATATATAATTACCTATTTTTTAACAAATTACCATTTAACGAATGTTTTATTAGAGGTTTATTTTCATCATGTATTAATATTAACTGGAGAACTATAGGAAATTATAGAGAATTAGTTAGACTTTTCATCCTAGGTTTGGTCTTCTCTTCATTAGTCTAAATGCCTACGACCTCGCACATGATTGAAAATAATAAATTCACGTCTCTCTTGTAGCAAACACGTTACTTTTTCACAACTGGATCGATATCCACTGGTTTACATTTGTAACTTCAATCGATTCCATTTGTGTTTGTCCAATATCATCGTTGATGTTTGAAAGTCATCGGTCAACGCTCCACATTAAAACTTTTAGAATTTATCTCTTAACCAATCACTATTTTACGTATAGAGAAAAAAAGCTTAGAATAAGTAGACAGAATCAAAATGAACCGTGGTCTAATGGTTAAGTATTCGTTGCTTGAGTTCTAGGTTCAATAGGTACACACTGCCAAGGAGTTTCATACTTGGACGAAACATTCCATCCAGAGCTTCCTGGTTTTCTTGGGGTGGTGCCTCAATGGTTAAGGCGCTTGACCTTCAGTCACTAAGTTGTGTGTTCGTGCCCCTCTCCATCTACGTTGATTTGGTCAACAGGATGGTATCACTAGCCTCCATACCTAGAATGACTCACATCCAGGTTGTAAGTTAATCAATAAACATCTGCTGAATAGTATCACATTCTCTGTGTTTCTTAACTCGGTGTGGCTTAGCATTTGACTATTTATACATTAGACTATGAAACTTTAGCTGATCATTTGAATTGTGTTATTTCTTAGAATGAATTTAAATGAGTTTTTTTCTTGAAAAATAGGTATTATTCATCTTCAGACGATAGTGTACGTAATCTTCGTGGTCTGCCTAATGGATCCAATGAACCTCATGTGAATCCAACTTCATCCGTGACGTTGAACGCTTCCAATTTTCCCAATAACAATGTTAAATTATTAGGTGGGAATTCAGATGAATCTTCTGTCATTACCAGATCTCTTTCACCAAATCAATGTGAGTTTATAATTGAAAGCTTATTTCCATCACTTCCAAGTTACTAATATCATATTATCTAGTCCTTAGCTGTCATCGACTTACATTGATCTTAGTGCAGTATGATCGCTAGGGCATGTAACTCGATTTGCTGGTGCACTATGATTAGATGTTGGTTGGCTAAGTGTTTAGTTTTAGGCGCCACTTATCAACAAGACGTTTCTTCATTTTCAAGTGAATAAAGCTTCCCATTTTTACATCATTTTCCCTAAGATTTCAGGGAATACCGTTTTGATATATTCCAATCCACAAGATGTTTGGTTTCAAAGCTAACCACAGATTTACCCATATCTTTCATGCTTCAATTACCGACCACCCTGCCTTTAACCAAGTGACGTCAGTTGTTGATAATCATATATAAATTTTACATTTATGTAACCGTATTATTTCACATGTTAGCGTAATATTGCTTGACCCCCTTATTGTAATAAATGTTTATCTATTTAATTTACGTTCTATTGCATCCCATAACCTTACTGACATTTTAGTGACAATAACTCATCAGTTATTGTAACACTCATTTCGTTTCGATTAAAGCTCACAGCATAAGCGATAATCATGCAGTTTATTATTTTCACATACATTGCTTTTCCACTGAGTAGTAACCAATGTAATGTTTGTCTAATCCTTAGTGTAAGTCAATTTCTAACGTTCAAGTTGCAATATGGTTATCAGTATAAATGACTTGATATCTCAAGTAACCCTGGACCTAGGTTTCTTGTTATTTGACATTTATGAGCAAGGTGTAGTTGCTATATTGATGTAAATAATGCTCACCTTGACTGTGACCCACCTCACCCAGTTTCATCATCTGAAGCATTCTTATCGAACTATTCGAAGCCCCCTGCAGGACTGGGATTTTTCAACAATGACTAACCATCTATATCATACTTGCTTTATTGACGAGTCCCAACTAACTCAAAACCTAGGTCCAAATATATTTGTATTCACGTATAAATTTATTTAGACAAAGATTTAACTAGTAGTATCAAGTTACCATGTTGATTATTGTAGCACAGTGTATAATTTATATGTAATTTCGAAAAAAACTGAAACAATAAAGCTATTGGTATTGGTAAAGTAAGTCAAAATAAATGTATCATAATGTATCAAATAATAAACAAATGTGAAAGCATATAACAGAGCTTATTACCATTAAAGAACTTTTATAGCGCACATCTTAGTTGATTGCAAAGTTCATTGAATAGAAAAGTATAAGACAATTTTGCACTTCAGTATCTTAAAGAAGATGAAAAGTGAGTGTATCTGGGCCATAATGACTAATTATTAACAATGCCACCAATCCTCCCCAACTATCAGTTACGATAATTGCGAGAATCCCCACCTGATAGTCAACAATAACTAACATAGCTCAGTTCAATATTCATTCTTTTAATGATTTGATGCTACACCTTGGCTCAGCCACTATAGCTTTATTCCTACGTACTGCTACACTAAACAAACTTCGTGCCTCCAGGTAGACTATGGTTAGACATACGTGACACATATCCTAACCACTCCAGTTGATGAAGATTTACAACCTCATTAAACCGGTATCCCAATTTTTATGCTCACTCTGGTGGTCTTAGTGTACGCAAGCGATGCTTTGAGGGGATTGATGATCAAATATTAGTAAGAGTAGTAGTTCATTATTCTTTACACACGGTGATCCTCGTGTTTAATTGACCAATAATGAAATATTCCAGAATCAAAATCATAAATAACCACACATAATATGGTCAAGAGTATTCCCGAAACTCTGCTTCAGTTTAACTTGACACATAAAATCGCAAAAAGGTAATATATTATACTACACAGATTAGGGGAACATAGCGGAATAGATAATCGATGTCAACCATTTGACAGGATATTGGATTTCCGTTTATGTTGGATACTTCTCATGAGTAACTGTACAATATCCGTTTTATGAATTCTGGTGAGACGATGGTTTTATGTTTAAAAGGACTTGACTTGGTGGAGAGCTCAACCGTCATTCTACTCTGTTTGAACAGTCAAATAGTATCGTTATTTCTGACACCTAAAGTGTTTTTGAAGACCAACTACATAAACCTGGTAAATACGTTATGGTGAGTTAAGACTAACTCATTAAATAGACGAATACATCAACACACGTTCTCACATTAAACCGTATAAGTTTTCGCATTACACAGAAATATGAATATCGGAAATAATAGTTTCTAAAATTCTTTCTATGTTTAAATATTCTCTTTGATATTTATGTTGATGAGATCATTTGTTAATGGATTGTTATTGTGATAGGTTTAGCTCATATCTGACTGTAATGATCAATAAATTCCTACGTCTAAAGTCTGTTCGGTTCAATGGCTAGTTGATTGACATGTCCTTCATGTTACTATTGAGTTTACTGTAGAGGAAAGTTTACTTTTTACAGTGTAACAGATAGCTATAATGGTTCGATCCATATCGGGTATGAGACAGCTATTCACCGCACTCCATGGATGAATGGTTGTGCAAAATCATGGATTAGTTGGAATTAGACATTAACACTGTTGAATTCCCGCTCAGTTGTCTAGAGGTTCAGCACTTGAGTGTGAAACCGAAAATGCTGAGTTCGATTCTCCTGTGCGAAGCCGTAGATGCTCGTTGACTAGAAATCCCCATACTATTACGAAACAGCCTTGCAATTCTTTCATGTTGTGAATGGTGGTCTAGCTAAGATCAGTTCTTTATCTCAGCTGTGAAAACACCATCTCCACAAATTCCCCATACTAAATTTTATCTTTCTGATTTTTGTTTACGCAAAACGCGCGACTTTGTTCATAATATTTTTTGTAAACTAACCACTAGATAAAGCACAATATGTGAAGAAATTCTAGGAAAATAAATCTGAGTCTACTTGTTTATAAAGTTATGTCGAGTACATTTATAAGAAATATTTATGCGTTTTTGGTGGAGTTTTGTTCTCTGAGCTGGATGGTTTGGTTGTGGAGCTTTCGTCGTTCTTCTGTACAAAGGGGCACCAATTACATATGCACCTACCGAGGCACTTGATTTGTGTGTTGGCTGTGATACTACCTGGGTGCCCATGTGCACCATTGGTTTGAAATCACGGTTTTCCGTCTCCCCTAAGTAGATCCTCCTTATCCATATGCATGTAAAAGGGTTAAGGGAACAGTTAGAAGTCAATTTAGTAGATGTGTTTGTAAATGGTGCTAAAGGATACCAGTTAATTTCCTTAAATGCTTACTGTGTCTTCCAAATTCAATTCGTTCCCTACTTTTTCACCAAATTTCTGAAAACCTTTTATTCACTACTACATTCTTCCATAGTTCAATCAAATAGGGACATAAATAAACTATGTTTCATAATCTCAAAGCCGTCTGCTCATAGTTATTCCTCTATTTATTTGCATAAACTAACTTCGAATCATAATTTCCTCTTATCATATTGCCGGCTTTCTATTTGTTTGTTGTTTGAAAATTTAATATACTTAGAAGTGTAGTTATTGGCTACTGTACATAACCAAGGTATGCAACATCATTGAATGTGACTGCATGCATATTATTACTCATTAGGTGCTATTCCACCACTTAATCTTCACGTTTGTATTTCAACATTTTAATACCATTTACGATACATTTGTCGTCTATGTTCAACTTTTCAGTTTTATTAATTTATAGTAAGGACTTTTATTCATTTCCATAGGCACTTCAATTAATAATACCAAATCCCAACAATTGATTCCCGCTCCACCACCACCGCCGCCACCACCTCCCCCGCCTCCTCCACCCCCACCAATGGCTAATATAGCTGGGTCGAAAAATTGGCATCAAAATACCACAACAACAATAAGTAATAAACTGTCAGGTTCACAGTCTGCTGCCGAAAATTCCGATACTAGTGACCATGATAGTGTCGCTGAATCTGGTAGTTTAGATGCTCAATTACGTATGGCCAGACAGCAACGTATTCGTGCTGCTTCTGTTGCTGGTCTAGGATCTTCTGATTTTGCACCAACCATTTCTGGCCCACGTACTCATGGTGTAGATATGATGACTGATCTTCAACGTGTTTTGGCAGCACGTCGACGTGCTAAGGAAGCTGAAGAGGTTGGTTCAATTTGAAACTAATTATTATTTATTAAATAAAAATTAACTGTTAAATATCAGGGGATAATGTTAAATTCTACTTCTAGGTATTATAAATCGGATGTTCATAGTTATGCTATTTTTCAATAGGATTCTATGAAGTCAAGAACATTATTCGATAAATTTTGGTGTATGTAATTTTATTTTCAATAACATCCATTGCCTTATAATTAAAAGCTGTAATTAAATAGTACATTTCAGTTAGACTCAATATTTAATCTTTTGTCATTTTACTAACATTTTGAATTAATATAACTCCCCTACTAGGTACAAGTTTATGTTTTGATGCTAAGTGGTTGAAGTTAGTCGAGAATAAACACTAGGCGGCCTGCTTGAGCATCTGGGCTACCTGTTCCTGCCATCTAGATATTTCGACAAGTTATCTATCTTTGTTTGTTTTAATATATCATTATGTCTATTAATCGCACAACCTATTCTGCTGCGTTTCTGAAAAGTGTACAACCTTTCGTTGTCAAAGTTACAAAAAGCTCAAAAAGAGAGAATATTGTTGCTGGCAATATACATCGAAAAGAATGTACATTATTCAGATATTCATTTACTGGACTGTTAACATCTAGCTGGCGATCACTCAGTATTTATCGCGAGGACCGACCAAGAAGAAAGAAACGGAAACTTGTTGAAATACTTTGTGCTGAGAATTCTATATTGTACCAATAATATAATATTGAATAAAGCTAATAGTAATAATAAAATAATAATAATAATAGATCTAGGTTTCCTGTTAGATGTCACTCGTTAACAAGATGTACCTGGAATCTTTAAGGTCCTGATGCTCCATATGGGATTTGAACTAGCGTCACAAAAACTTACAGTCGAAGAAAATATTAATGAACTGTTCTGACCACAACTAACTAACTGAAGAACTGAGATTTATTTACAAATAGTTGATCAGTGATTAGGTAGCCAATGTTATATCTGTCTAGTCCTTTAATATTGATCGAATTCTATCGACCAAGTTGTACTCAGCTTCAAGTAGCATTTTTTTTGTTTTATGAAAACTAATGATACTACTGAGCTGCTTAAATCGAAGTAGATGAAATACTGCAGTTCGAATCTGTTATCTCGTCATAAGGTCGCCTCTACCGTTTTATAGACCTAGGCGATATTATTCCATTATGGAAATACAGTGTTGCATAAAATACAAATTCATGCACACATAGACACTTTAACAAAAGTTCACAACCACATTTGCTTGTTAAATGAACTTTATAGCGTCTGCTGTGTTTATGATCTCAGACTGGAATTTCCGCATATACTATATACCAAATAATTAGATTTTTCCAGTTTACATAGTTGGAATCCCATCACAACAACACTTGTTTATTCACTCATTCAATTGTTATTTATGTGTTGGTTAAAGCGTTAGACATTCAATCAGTGGTTCACTGGTTCAACTCTTGCCCTACCTAATTCAGTTCGGTCAACCGGGTAGTGTGTCACTAGCCTTCACACATTAAGCGTAACTTAAAGTTGAGTACACGAATCTGTCCTTGCTAAGTGAATTACATCTCCATTAATGTGTCCTCACTGTATTAATATCGCTAATTAGAATATTATCCATTAATTTCAATCATTCTATTACTATTTATTCTAGTTCCATTTTATAATAATAAAAGTCAGTCAAATCATTATATGTATATGATATTCTCAAACCTTGTTATAAATTATCCTACTTAAAAGTATATTGACTTTCCTATCTCCCGTCTTTTATGACCTATACTAAGAATAACAAATCAATAGATTGTCTCGTCTGAGTTTTGCTCCCATTCTGCATTGATTAATACTGTTACTGTTATGGATATTATCAATATTATTATTATTACATCAGCAGACTTAATCAGACAATTTCCATGTATATATTTGGCTGTATGTGTGTACAGACCTGTCCGGTTTTCTTTTATTGATCTGTACAGTTGCATTGATTCTCTTTCAGACTTAGTCTATCAGAAATTTTCGATTTGTTTATACTTTGTATACATTACTATACTTGTCATACGGTATATCCCAGGGACAAAGTGGGATTTTTATATGCTTTGGTGTGTCCATGTCGGTAGAACTATATATATATATATATATACTCACATTTTAGTAGTTATTCTCCCTTACCTCTTTGTGTATCAATAATGTGACTACCCATTTTGTTTCTTTCTGTGAGAGCCTAGAAATGTAAGTTTTCATTTGCTTATCTTTGATGAGTAATTAAGCTATTTTCATAAAAAAAACCACCTTTAAAGGAATTATATCACGACAAGATTCATGTCAATACATTTCTGATTTAGAATGTTTTAACTCTAACTTGCTTTAGTATATTTGCTACATAACATTTGTGGAATTCTAGACATCTATTACTGTTTTATTTGAGACTTATCAGCTAGTTTTTCCTGTAAGCTAATGTTGTTCACATTCAGGCTTGAATCTAATATCCATCATGATCTCAATCAAAAACTTAATATCCATCACTTGGAACGTCAACACATTGTTCAACTAATCTACTGTGTTGAGATAACTACTGGAACCTGTAACTAAAAGATAGCAATGAGATAATCTACACAGGAAGCACGTTTATGCCCAATGGCATAATTAGGAAATAAAAGTTTTTTTGTAACTGCTGTCAGGTGTTTTTAGAAGACGATCACTTTCATAGTATCTATGCATGTATCCATCAATATTAACTGATATTGACTTCACAAATGTATTTTACCAATTTATTTATTTATTTAAACATATTAACATTGGATCGAGGAGGCACCAAATATATATGTGCCACACAAATCACTCGATTTGTGTGAGGGCCAGAATACTGCCCGGACGCCTTAACAAAAGTAGGTGGTCTTCTTAAGGAGTCAATCCCAAATCCTTTACCCAAAGTTCTGATTCACAAGTCAGTAGAGCAACGTTAGGAGACGCAGTCCCATGGTAGCCGCTGGCCAACAATAGACTTATACGTCATCTGTTCCCTCAGGATCCCAGAACCCGTGTGCACCGTTGGTTTGGGACCATAGTTCTCCACCTCCCCTAGGTAGATCCTCCTTACACACCAACCGGTTAAAGCGACGGACATCCGCTTTTCGTCCTCTCAATTTCGTAAACAACACCCATTGTGTTTGAAATCTGTGTATAGGACTTTCCTGGCGGTGGCGCTATGCACGTGGCTATGTGAGAGCATTTTGGGAGGGAGAGCGGACTCTTTCTAATCTCAACCATAACATGGCACTTAAGGGGGTATTACCAATTAGTTTTTTGATTATATCGTAAACTTAACTAAATTGTTTGATCAAGCAAGGTCAGTGATCGGAAAACTTGACACCATTCAATATCTGACTACTGTACATTATCCAGTTATATATATCTAACTTTATCACTTAACTGCCGACTCTAGGTTTTCCCTTCTCAGGAAGCTTGAATTCTTTCAACTTGCAAACATATCTTTTTCATCAATCATAGAATCTCTAGTTCGTGGACTCATAACTAATGAAATAAAACATTCATCAAAACTTATTTGATTATCTATATTTCACTGTATCATTAATATTGAATAAATAGCCGATTCAATTCATTTATTATGTATAATACTATTGAAAGTTTGAATATTCCATACACAGAAAACAACAACTTCCAAATTACTTTTCACTACAATCTACTTCAATTTACAATCTTCCTCTTTCTAATTTTTCTTTTACTTATTATTAAAAAAAAAGGACTAAATATTACACTTCACTCTTCATTTAAATTTTATTCTCTATGTTTTTGTACATTTGAAAAGTCTTTTCTTTTTCTCCTCTTCAAAATTGTTTTATATTTTCTTTTATTTATAATTTTCTCTACAGATTACTTTTTACTCTCTTTCTCACTTGTAATTTGGCTAGATTATTTTTGTATGTATATGTACGTGTGTTTGTGTGTGTGTGTGTGTGTGCATATCTCTCTGCATGTATATGTAACAGTTGTTCAAAGATATATATATATATATATATATATATATATATATATTTATTCAACCTTCAATTATGTTCTATAACTTTGTTTTATGGGCCCTACTTTTATGTATTATTACCAACAACAACAAAAAAGAGGAAAAAGTGTCCATAAATACACAAATGTTTTTTTTATTTATTGTTTTACTCACCATAATTAATAGTAATGGTAATAAACAGTCTAGAATTATCATATTATGGCTATGTATTACACGGATTGAGTTTTAGTTTTTACTTTTGATACATAAAACAAAATAACTATGTCTAATGATGATATGTTCTATTTGTAACATTGAATACAGTGTTTTGGACTAGTAAAGTTTAATTACTCTATGTGAATGTGAACTATGAGATTGTGTGAATATATATGGTTGAACTTATCGAGTTCATATTACCTAATTTATTTTTATCAGTTGATTTATCTTTCTAATCTTCTCTTTCTCTTACACACATATACATGCTGAATATCTATGTTGTAGATTACCTGTTAAAATGTAAACCAATTCTACCATTTTAAATAGTTATACTGAATGTTTCCAGTAAATTTAATCTTGAGGCTTATTCCTGTTCCTATATAATATCTAGTGAATCTTCTAACTTATGACCGTAGGATTTTAATTAGCGCAGATATTCCCTTGGGCTCAAATATATATATATATATATATATATATATATATATACCTTGAGAATGCCCATCTACTTACTAGGGCTAAATGAGGGTTATATACCTGTGTAAAGAATTAGAATTATGATTTACAGTTGATAGCTAGGGTTAGGAATTAGATTTATGGTTTTCATCACGAACCGTTATCAGCTAAAATGCCGAGACGCTATTTAGCCAAATGTATGAATGAATTCTGCGTCAAAATCCAAGACCTGTTATCGTATATTTGATTGGTTCCTCGTCAAAATAAACTTATAAACACTTGAAAAACTTTTGACATACCACTGGTATGACATTATTGT